TCCTGGGTCAGTAAGAAAACAAAGTTGTAAAGAAGGGCATTTCCATGTAGCCAGTGGAGAGCTGCATGGGATGTCAGCAACACCGGCAGGGGAGCCCTGGCAGTGCCGAGGGTGGCTTAGCACTGACCTGTCACTGTGTAACCAGGCAGGAGCAGCAGACTGGGACAGGCCTGAAAATTTATGTTTTTAATTGAAACAAGTATATTGAGGATACTGCACTGGTTTGAATTGCTAGGCTAAATATTTTGACTTTTTATATTTTAAAACTGCTCAAGTATGTATAACTAGAACATGTGGCTTTACTACATTTTCCTACAACATTCTGACACTGGTAATTCGTATCTTCCTACTAGCAAGAATAAATTATGTCCCTAAATTATTAAAAGACCAACAAATAGTTCTGATGCCCACAGGTCAGATTTCTAGTTTGCAAATAGGTACCCATTTGTAGATTTATTATACAAATGTGACCAACTTAGCTGTTAGGCCAAAACAAAACAATAAAACGCAAGGGTAGTGTCTAGATGGTTAAATGGAAATAAACTTTGGCACATATGAGCATGTAATCTGGATTCCCAGACTGACTCATAATTGATGATTCTGTGTCTGGCTCTGAACTTCATAATGATGGAGACTTCAGAACTCCTTACTAGATTCAGAAAAAAAGCAAACAGAAATGGCTAAAAATTTAGAGAGTGCAACCTTTAAAGAAATAACTTAAATAGGATTTTCTAATCATTTGAATTATTCCTCAAAATTATTATGAAACAAACAAGCAAATAGAACTCCTTCCCCCCTCCACCAATAATCCATTGATGGGTCAGGTGACACCATATCCTTGCCAAACAATAATAATTTTTACTATTTTATATTCTAAAATACCTTTACACGAGTGGAGGTGCCTTAGATTTTTAAAAATAGAGTTTTCTGCAGCAAGAAAACCAATAAGATGTGTTGCTTACAGGACCTCCCAGTGTGACCTTGGGTATGTCTTACCCTTTTGGACCTTAGCTCCCACTTCTGTGTTGTGAAGGGTCAGCCTGGGAAAGAATCAAAGGTCCCTTCAGCTACAAATTATCCAATTCTGTCTTTTGCAAATGAAAAAAATAACATTAATTTCCATCAATAAGATAGTCCCTATGCAAATCGTGAAGTGAGAAACGTTTGTTTGGGGAACTCCCCACCTACTTTTGAACCCAGTCCTCCCCTCCTCTGGCTTCTCTTCTTCCCTGTTTTTGACTCCTCGTGCCTTTGTGCCCTTTATGGAAAGGATCTTGCAAACTTCCTCAAATTAAACTTTTAAAACAACAGATAAAACTTAATGTGCTCTGTCTCCCAAAATACATACATTTTCGAATTTTAAGTTAACAGCACCATTTTGTGCTTGTGGAATTTTAGACATCAACAATTTGGGGAGAATAGGTTTGGGGGACAGAGGAATTGACTTTCAGGGCTTTATCATGTGCTGTCCTTACGTATTATGTTGATCACATCAACATGGGGCCTCTTTGCCTGACAAC